GGCGCGCGTCGGGCCCTCGCGCTCCCGGGTGTTGCACCCAGGGCGTTCTGCACGACGCGCGCGGCGTGTGCGCCCTGCAGATTTGCACGCGCGCCCGGGTGTGAGGTGCCCTTAACAGATCGCAACAAGCCCAGACCTTAAACATAAACATCCAGGCGCGTGAAACTTCGCACGCTTCCCCGGCCTTAAAACATGCGCGTACTTTTCAAAATCTTAACGAGGCCTGTCTGGAGCGGTAAAGTCGCGGGTCCCGGCGTTTCACGCACGGCACAGCCGTGCGCACCTTTTCCCAGATGTGCATTTGACCCAGGCTGGCGCTCGGGCTCCCTCTTCAAACTACACGGCCCCAGCGTTGCGCATGGCCCAGAGCTGTGGCAGCTCCACGCAGGCCTTAACCACGCTTCCTCGGGTCTTAAACATAGGTACCCATGTTCTGAATACCTCCCCAAACCTCGAACGTCCCCCTTACCTCCACTGTCTTCCCCCTTTCGTCAGGGTCCTTAAGCATCCAGCCTCACTGAAGCTCTAACCCTGTGTAATAAACGAGTCAGACGTCCGAGACTCGGCTACATTGTGCACACCCCGGTGGCTTCGCACTTAAGCCTAGCCCTTGCATGTGGCCTGCCAGCTTGTGTCATCCTGCTGTTGCGGGTGTTCTGGGTTTCGGCAAGCACCCCTGGTCTTTACACTCCAGGTGCAAACCTCTTTCAAGTCCTCTGTGGTCCCTCTGCCCTCCTAGACTTCAAATACTGTCCCGTCGCTTACAAGACTGGGTCCCCCAGCTGGGTGCTTTAACTGCATTTTCTCAGAGGTTCTGGACCTGCAAACCCAGGGTCTGCACTCAAGTTTTTTTCCTCACCTCACATAGTTGTTCACATTTCAGAGCCACCTGCCCAGATGGAAACCATGCTTTTTAAGCCCCCAAAATAAATTTTTGCGTTTTAAGCCCCCAAAATAAATTTTTTCCTGCCTGTTATTATTCTGGACAGAAGATATCTGTGGTTTATAGGACATTTGGGGATGCCTGTTAGCAACAAGGTGGGAGTGAAAACTGTTAGTTGCCCCCCAGCCCCCCGGGATTCTTGCTGCCAGGCTGTTCCAGAGCCTTCACTTGTTTTCTGAGTTGTTTTTGGTATGAAAAGAAATGGCTGGGCGCGAGGGAGTAGAACATGTAGCTCTCCTTGGCTTTATTGCTGGAACATTCTGGTGTTCTGCAAATGCTCTCGAGACGCTGTGTTTGGGGACCCCCCGCCAAGGCGGCGTCCCACGGCTGCTTCCACACGTCTCCCCAGCTCCATGGATGGTTCTGGACTCTGTGCTTCCGGCCGCTGCATCTCTGCCTCCCTGGGGTCAGCTCGACATGGCTGCAGCCTGGGGTGTGTGTGTGCTGGGGGGGACAGCAGCCACCTGGAAAGGTTGGTGGCAGCCAGTGAGCTGGACTTACTCTCGATGGTCACGAGGAGCCTCGGAAGGTTGAGGATGGGCAGGGTGGGGCGCAGCGGTGTGCCAGGCAGGTGCAGCCCAGGCTGGCTTGTGCGTTGTGGGGGCGTCAGGGGGGCCCTAGACCTCAAGGAGCTGACTTCTGAGTTGGGTCTCAGTAGAGCAACAGTCCCCGACCTTTGTGGCACCAGGATGGGTGCTCCTGAGAATCTAACGCCTGAGGGCCTGAGGTGGAGCTGAGGTGGTCATGTTGGCCCTGGGGAGCGGCTGCAGATACAGATGAAGCTTCACTCACTTGCCCGTCGCTCACCTCCTTCTGGTTCCTAATAGGCCGGGGACCGGGGTTCGGGACCTCTGCAGTAGAGGGATCAAGGATTGGTCAGGCTGGGGGGGTGACAAGGTATTCCATCCAGGCTGAGAGCACAGCTGCAGCAAAGGCCGGAGGGGGAAGCGGGCTGGTGGCCCTCAGGGACCCCACATGGGCCACCGTTTAGGTGACAAGTGAGCTCCTGGGGGAGGGTCCTGGGGTGGTGGCAGGAAAAGGATGGGGGGTCAGCCACGTGGGGTCTTGACCCCTGGAACAACAGGTTTAGATATGGCCTCGGGGGTTTCTGAGCATGAAAATGGGGTGTGAACACATCATTGGGGTGTGTTCCCTCCGGGGTGTGTTTGGAACAGCCTGTCCTTGCGCGTCCCCCAGCCTCAGTTTCCCCACCCCTCTGCCGCAGCAAGGTGCTCGGGTCTTCGGGGCCCTGGGCCCCATCGGGCCGTCCTCGCCCGGGCTCGCCCTCGGGGGCCTGGTGGTAGGCGAGCACCGGCTCAGCAACAAGCTGCTGGCCTGGAGCGGCGTCCTCGAGTGGCAGGAGGTGAGCGGTCCCTCAGGTCCCCCGTGCGTTCCTGTCGGACTGGGGGTGGCCCCGAGGGCCCCGACCGCCCCCGTGGGTGGAGGGCCGGCCCGGCCCCTGGGCCGTGTCCAGTGAGCCCTCTCGCCACAGAAACGCAGACCCTATTCGGACTCCACGGCGAAGCTGAAGCGGACCCTGCCCTGCCAGGCCTACGTGAACCAGGGCGAGAACCTGTGAGTGCCCGGCCAGTGGGCACGTGGGCGGGTGGCCGCGGGCCCGGCCCCCTCTGATCCTCTCCTCCCGCAGGGAGACCGACCAGTGGCCACAGAAGCTGATCATGCAGCTGATCCCGCAGCAGCTGCTGGTGAGCCCCGCCCCGCCCCCCAGCGTGCCCGCCAGAGCCCCGCAGCCCAGCCGTGACCCGCCTGTGCCCTTGTCGCCCCCAGACCACCCTGGGCCCCCTGTTCCGCAACTCGCAGCTGGCGCAGTTCCACTTCACCAACAGAGAGTGCGACTCGGTCAAGGGGCTCTGCCGCGTCATGGGCAATGGCTTCGTGAGTGGGGCGGCGCCGCGCTCCTGGGAGGCGGGGCGCTCGCTGTCCATCGTGGCTCCCCGGGGTCCCGGGCGCTGTCGGGACTCACCCTTGGCGCGGAGGGGAGGCGTCCACCCGCCTCGGGCTCCTGTGTCTGGCCGAGCTGAGAGCTGGGCATCGGGGACATGTTGGGATGGGGGGCAATGAGCCAGGAGGAGGGGCTGGTCTGTGCTGCACCTCAGTTTCTTCATCTGACAAGTGGGACTAACAGTAAGATTTACTCCCGGGGCCACTCGGAGGAGCGTGGGCTGGTGTCAGGTGCTTGAGGCAGCGGTTTGGGGACAGAGTGCTCAGTAAACGTGAGCAGCTGAGATTGTCAGAGTCAGGGATTTGGATGCACGATGTCAGGACGTGAAGCTGGAGTGAGCCCTGCAGACCCCGAGGTCCGGGCCCAGTTTCAGCAGCATCCCCCCACCCCCCAAAGGGGCTGCCTGTGGGAGAAGACAGCTTCTGGGGAGGGGTGGGCACAGGCGGGAGTATGTCACCTGCTCAGGAAGGCCAGAGGACTCAGCTCTGGGGTCCCCTCCAGCCCCCGCTCCACTTTGAGACAGGCTGCTGCCTCCAGGGGCTGCTGCATGTGCCCCAAGCCCCAACCCTGCTGTCAAGGTGGATCCCCTTTCTCCCAAGCCCTGGGCAGACCAGGGTCTCCTGCCTGACCGGTCACCCTTTCACTCAGCACCATTTGCTGAGGGCTTGCCCTGTGCCTGGCACCCAGGCTGCAGGGAAGACAGATGTCACCCTGTTGTCTGTTGGTCACACTCCTGGTCCTAGGAGGTCTGGGAGGGCCGGCTGCACAGGGTCCAGGAGTGGGCGCCATGAGCAGGTGGATTTAGTGCTCTAGTCATGGGATGAGTGGGCCGGGCGGGCCGGGCAGTATTCCAGGTGTGCTCGGAAGTGCTAGCTCCTGTCCCACCCCACACGGGACTGTCAGGCTCCTGCTCTCGCACGTCCCGCCGAGGAACTAGCACTTCACGTAAGGGCAATTTATGTGGCACTTACTGTGTCCACTACGGTCATCCCATTTTACAGATGGGGAAACTGAGGTCCAGAATACATGGTAACTCACCTTAGGTCACACGGCCAGGAGGAGGCGGAGCTGGGCCTGGCACCGGGGGTGGGCGGGAGATGGAGCCCTCAGGACCCTCACACCCCAGCGTGGGTCCCAGGCCCCAGCCCTGAGCTCATGTGCGTGGGTGGGTGTGCCAAGGTGCCCGTTCACACACTTGCGAGGGGATGTGTTTTGAGTGCGCCTCTCGTGGGACCATGGGGTTGGCTTTGAGGACCTCCGTCCTGGGAGAGGCAGGCTTGGGTGACGGGACCGGGGCACTCGGACCCCTGGGCAGTGCTCTGGGGCCCCTGACCTCCCGGCCCCCCCCCCCAGGCGGGCTGCATGCTCTTTCCCCACATCTCCCCCTGCGAGGTGCGCGTGCTCATGCTGCTGTACTCGTCCAAGAAGAAGATCTTCATGGGCCTCATCCCCTACGACCAGAGCGGCTTCGTCAACGCCATCCGGCAGGTCATCACCACCCGCAAGCAGGTGCGCCCTGGGCCCCAGCGAGTGAGGCTTTGGGGGGCGGGAGGGAGGACCGGAGCAGGTTCCCGGAAGGAGGCGGGCCCGGACAGATTGGAGGCCGGGGCGAGGGTCTTCGGGGCGGGCAGGTGGCAGCAGGTGTGGAGCTGACGGGTGGGGCCTGGGGCAGCACCGGGATGTCCCGGGAGCACCAGCCCACCTGTCTCCTTCCGCAGGCGGTGGGACCCGGTGGCGTTGCAGGCCCAGTCCAGATTGTCAACAACAAGTTCCTGGCGTGGAGTGGAGTCATGGAGTGGCAGGAGGTGAGCCCCGGGGTGGCCCAGGGCACCTCAGGAGTAGCGCACCCCCACTCCTGACGTCTCCCCTCTTTGTCTCCCCAAAAGCCCAGGCCTGAGCCCAACAGCCGGTCTAAGAGGTGGCTGCCGTCGCACGTCTACGTGAACCAGGGGGAGATCCTGTGAGTGTCGGGCTGGGGGCGGAGGCAGCGTCTCAGCGAGACCTGGCTCCTGACGCTCGTCCCCTCGTGCCCGCAGGAGGACAGAGCAGTGGCCGAGGAAGCTGTACATGCAGCTCATCCCGCAGCAGCTGCTGGTGAGTGCTGAGGGGAGGCCATGCGTGTGGCGTCTCCAAGGAGGGGCCCCCGAGCTTCCAGCCGGAGGGGGGCGTTCTGGGTCGCGGGGCAGCAGAGATCCTGTGGCGTGCCCAGCACGGGGCGGTGGGCAGGCGACCCCAGCTATGAGGGGTCCAGGGCCTGTGAGGTTTAACTGGGGTCCCGGTGCTGGCGCCACGGGGGGCGGGAAGGGTGGGGGACGTGGCCTCACGGGGCGCCCGCTGCCGCCGCAGACCACCCTGGTGCCGCTGTTCCGGACCTCTCGCCTCGTGCAGTTCCACTTCACCAAGGACCTGGAGACGCTGAAGAGCCTGTGCCGCGTCATGGACAACGGCTTCGTGAGTGGGGCCGCGGGCGTGGGCAAAGGCCTGGTAGGACACAGGCCGCCGGGTCCGCTCAGCGTTGAAACACGGGACGAACGAGGGGACACCGACTGCCGACCAGCCGGGGACAGTGACGGCAGCCCACGGCGACGCCGTTTGCCACGTGTCTGCACACGTGCTGGCTCCCAGTCCACGTAGCTCCCCTAGGGTGCTGTGCTGTCCTGACCCCGTTTTACAGATGGGGAAACGGAGGCCGAGGTGCCGGGCAGGGACCTCAGGGCCCGTCCCACGCTGCTCCGTCTGGGCGACGTCGTGAGCACTCTCCATCTGTGCTCCCAGGGCTTTACCTGCTGCCTCCCTCCTGTTCCCCCTCCTGGGGACAGGGCACTGTGTGGTGTCACTCCAGGTTTTCCCATGGAAAACCCCGGGCCCTGGAAGGCCCCCCGCCAGGCTCGGAGGCATGTCAGCTTCCGGCTGAGCTCCTAGCGCGCCCCCAGCCTCGGTCTCCATGGGAGGTGAGCAGGCCCGGGCTCCTGGCTCTGAAATGATCGTCGCTGTCCATTGTGGGTGTCTACTATGTCGGGGCCACACCTGGTCTCAGGTGACCTCACTTAAGTCTGCTGAGGTGGTGACAGGCACGCAGTCGTGTGCTTGAGCAACCAGCTGTAGATTTCGTTTGTGTTAAAAAAAAATTCAAAAGCCCAGAGCTCCTTCAGGGACACCTGTGATGGTCCCAGGCCAGCGGCCAGCCCTCCCTTCTGTTCCACTGGGGACCCGTGTCAGGCCGTTCGCTGTTGGTTCGCGTGTGGCGTGTCCTGGGCTCTCCCGAGGGCGTCCTGTTGGATGCCTGTCGCTACTGCTCCCAAGGTGACGCCCATGGGGCCAGCACTTCCCCTTCTGGCTCTGGGGACCTGAGTCCTCGCGTTGTCAGCCTCAGTTGGTCCACCTGTGACATGGGGATGGTGATCCTAGGCCAGGAAGAGGAGCCAGGAAAATGGATGGGAGCACGTGGCCCACTGTGTCACGGTGGGTGGAAGGGGACACTGTGCTGGCTCCAGCGGCCGCCCTGTGTCTCTGCCTGTTGGCTCAGCTGCCTCCGAGGGTCGCATGGGGTCGGGAAGATGCGGCGCTGGTCTCCCTAGTGGGGCTTCTACACGGGCTTGCTCGTGGCCGCTCCCCAGGCACTGTTTCGGGGCGTCCGTGTACTTGCTTGTCCAGCGCAGGTGGCGCCCCTGACCTCGGCACCGCAGTGTCCTTGGAGCTCTGGCACCTTCTCTTGTCGTGGGCTCCTCTGCAGAGTCCACTGGGCTTTGGGGCGCTGACCCTGGGCCTCTGTCTCTGTCCCCAGATGGGGGAGTCGTAGCAGGGCCTTGAGGACAGAGCAGTTAGGATGTGTCTGGCTCTGGCATGTTCTGTGGCACGTTCTGTCCCGCTGTGTGCGGGACACTGGCCGATGTGGTTTGAGCCCGTCGCTGCGGGGAGGAGCAGCTCCCCGTGACGCTGTGCCCTGTGCCCGCCAGGCCGGCTGCGTGCACTTTTCCTACAAGGCCTCGTGCGAGGTGCGCGTGCTCATGCTGCTGTACTCGTCGGAGAAGAAGATCTTCATCGGTCTCATCCCCCACGACCAGGGCAACTTCGTCAACGGCATCCGGCGCGTCATCGCCAACCAGCAGCAGGTCCTGCAGCGGAATCTAGAGCAGGAGCAGCAGCAGCGAGGGGTGAGGCGGGGGTGGGGCCCCCAGAGCCCCCTCCACCTGTGCCTCCTCCCTCCCTCACTGACTCTCCTCCCCGGCTTCTTCCCCCACAGATGGGGGGCTAGTGGCCACCCCCTGGGGTAGGCCCCTCCAGGAGTCACAGACGAGGCTCCTGCCGAGACCGGTGAGTGGGAAGCGAGTGGAATGCGGGCTGGGTGCACTGGGAGTCTGGGAAGAAGTCGTGTGACCCCGGCTTTGACGGAGCAGAGTAAGGCTCTGCAGTCCCCCGGGGGCCCCAATCCCCCAGGAAGTGATGGGACCTGGGGCTCCAGGCCTCCCAGGGAGAGGCCCTTAGCCCCTGCAGAGTCATGGCGGGGGGCAGTGGCTGCTGGGAGTCCCCTTCCAGGCCCCTGTGCTGTCCCCTGCCCCAGGTCAGATACTTCTGAGCAGGGGCCCTTGGACACTGCAACTGCCCAACGAGATGGAGGACAGCGTCCTACGATGTCTCCGAGGACAGTCCCCGCCTGTGTACGTTTCCCCAATAAAGTCTTTTAAACGCCCACCAGTCCTGTGTGGCACATGCGGCCATGGCCTCGGGAGCCTAGTTCTCACCCTTGGCGAGAGAGGCCATTTGTCTTGAGATACCCAGCCCACCCAGCTCGGGGACCCCTGGGGCCAACCCTCAGCAGGGGGGGCCACCCTCATTCCTAGCAATATGCTGGCCAGGCTTAACGGAAAACAGCATTTATTGGGGGGCAGGGGCGGGGCCGGGGCGGGCGGCACTCAGCCCTCCGAGAACTGGCGGTACAGCCGCTCCAGCCGGGGCTCCACGCACAGCCGGAACGGGATCTGCAGGATCGCGGAGAAGCCTTCGGCCAGCGTCGGGGCTTCGAACTGCTTCCTGTTGGCGGAGGGCGGTGAGGCGGGGCGAGGCCCAGCCGGGCCCCCAGCCCGCCCTGGCGGTGCCTACCTGTAGCCATAGATGACCACGTCGGACACGGGGGCGTGAGAGGAGCCGGTCATCTCCCGGAACTGCGGGGCAGAGTCCGAGCCGGTCAGGCCGGGGAGGGCGGGGGATGGGGGACAGGACGGGGGGTCCTGGGGGTGCAGCCGCTCACCCGGATGTTGTGCCGCGCCTGCTCCAGGGTGGCGCTGAAGAGGAAGCAGCGGCAGGGGACTCCTGCATCCTGGGCGCACTTGATGTACCTGAGGGGCAGAAGGGGCCAGGCTGGCAGGGGCCGCGGGCCAGCGCCGAGGCCTCCCGCAGGACCCTGCTGCTACCTGGCCCGGCTGGCAGCGTCCGGGTTCGTGTTGTCGATGGCCACCCGCTTGCTTTGCCTTAGAGCGGCCTCACACGTGCTCACACAGCGCTGCCACGAGCCCAGAGTGTCCTGGGGGGCACAGGGAGAGCAGGTCACAGGTCAGCGAGGCCAGGGACCCGGGAGGGGGACGGGGAGAGACGGGCAGTGACAGTGACTGTGGCTGGTGGTGAGGTCGGGGCCCTACCCTGTTCACGTGGACGTATCCCGCAGCCACGAGGTACTGTTGGAGGAACGTGGACTTGCCGGCTGTGGGGACGGGGCAGCCTCAGCGGGAGCCCAGGGGCCAGAGCTCTAGGGGTCAGGGGTCAGGGTGTCTCACCCCCAGGGAATCCCACGGCGACAACCACCTCAGGGTCGGAGCTCAAGAGGGAGCTGGACTCCGGCAGGCAGAGCGGCCCCGAGGGGGAGACGGTCCTCTGGGAGGGTGGACATGGACATGAGAACTCAGCCTGCCCCAGCCCTCCCCACGCCCCAACCCCAGCGGGGGCCTCACCGGGTCAAAGGCCGGAAGCTCGAAGCCGGCTACCGGCCACTTCAGGAAGAACTCCTCCGGGGTGGCGAAGGGCAGGCCCAGGTTGAGGGCAAACTGGGGGTGAGGGCACGGGTCAGACAGAGGAGGGTGCGGCTGGGCCCCAGGGCGCGGGCGCCGGGCGGGGTGGGAGGCTCACCAGGCGGTCTGCGCAGGAGAAGTCTTTCTTCTTCCGCCCCGGGGCCCAGTTGGCTGGGCGTCCAGCCGCATCTGGAACATATGGAGGACACAGCCTGGTCTCCACCAGCAACCTGGGGACCAGGGTGCCACACGCTGCCCCCGGCCAGGGCCCTTACCTCCCACGAAGACGCTGTCCCCGATGGAGATGGGCACGCCCCCATTGGCCTGGGGAGGGACAGGAGAGACACGCCATAGGACGCACGCTCCGGCCAGTTAGAGGGTGAGCGGCTCTGCCGAGTGGTGGGCCTGCTCGAACTTCTTGTCCCCGTGCACAGCCCAGCAGCAGACCCTGGCGGCACCCTCTGTGGGCACTGCTCACACCCTCGTGCCCACACCAGCCTCTCCTGGACCCTCAGTCCCTGCCAGTCTCAGGGCTTCCTCCTCCACCCGGTCTGTCCCCCTCAGAGCCACCAGAGGGCACCATTCCCCCTTCCCCTACATCCCTGTAAGCGAGGTCTGCGCCTGGCCCAGGTGGCCTCACACGATCAGACCCCTGCTCGCCGGGACCTCCTGGCCCGCCCTCACGGCCTCACTGTCCCTGAACACTGGGCACAGGACCTCCGCACTGGCTGGGACGCCGGCCTGGAAGGCTCTTCGGGAACCTAGATGCCCGCCTGGCTCCCTCCCCACCACGTTCAGCGCTTCACGCCAAGAGCGCCTCAGGCCACCCTCCCCGGTACAGAGCCCACGAGCCCCAGGTCCGTGTCGCTCACCGGTACCGTCAGCCCAGGCTGTGCAGCTTCAGAACGAGCACACAAGTGAATGACAACCAGTGACCGACCCCTCTCGGCCACTCTGGTTTTCACTGTGAGCACTGGCCTCACATACCGACCCTGAGCCATGACATCTGAACAGCAGGAAGGCGAGGACCAGGGGACAGAGCTGACAGGGAGGGGCGGGCCGGGCAGAGGGCAGGGGGCGAGGGGCTGTACGGGGGAGCGACCCAGTCACCTGCTCCCGCAGATGGTCCCACATGCCGATCACTGGCTTCCGGTACAAGCCCGCGTGCGTGGCCACCAGCACCTGCGGACGGGGCAGGATTGGACACCACCCTGACTTAGCTCCTCAGGCACCCGGAGTGCTTCAAGGGCTCAGGACCCAAGGGTGCTACACCAACCTGTACCATCTGAGAGCCCCCAGGGCCTCGGAACCCAGCACGGCAGCACCCTGGGGCTCTCCTCGCGGTTTCTGTCCCTGCCCCTCTCTGGATCCTATCCCTCTGGGTCTCTGTCATCCCCTCCTGTGTCCTTGTCCCCTTCCTCTGAGTCCTCCCCCCCAAGCCCCTGTCCCTCTGCTTCGCCCTTCGGCCTCCCCAGCAGGCGTACCTGAAAGGGAACTCCTAGCTTTTCCACCACAGCCTCCACCTTGGCCTTGAACTCCTCTGCTGGCAGCTTCCCGCGCCCAATGCCCATCTGGTTGGTGAAGACCACCAGCTGGGAAGCAGACGGGTGTCACCCAGTGTCCTCACTGTGCCCGGCCTGCCCCGCAGCCTGGACCCGAGAACACATGCATGCACACACCTTGTAGCCCGCAGCATCCAGCTCCCGGAGCTTACGCGGAATCTCTAGGTACAAGATCCTAGGATGCGGGGGAAGCAGCAAGGTGACCCGGGGCCCAGGAGTGACCTCACTCACCCCCTTCTCCTGCCTCTTATCACCTCCAGTCACTGGGGCCGGTGGGAAAGACCTTCCCAGAGCGTGTGGTGATGAGGGTCCCATCCAGATCAAAGCCGGCCACCTGATGTCACCAAGAAAAAACAGCGACACCTCTGACCCCTCATTCGCAGGCTGGTTCATGTCAACCCTATGAGGCAGAGACTATGACCACCGGCCCCTTGGACATCTTGTGTAAGGACAGGCATGGCGAGGATGCATCCCCTGCCTTTACTGTCTGTTCCTCCCACACCCCTCAGCATTCCCATCCTTAAAATGGGCTCATACCCTACCCACCCTCCTCCCGGCTTCTCCGCCTCAAGGGGCTAACAATAACCACGCAAGTGAAGCAGAAGCTAAGCTTTGTGTGCGTGCCAAGTGTACATCGGGCTCTGCTGCACGTCTCCCGTGGATCCCTCATGTTACGGATGAGAGAAGGGAGTCTTGGGGGATGTGCTGTAACAGCATCTGAACACAAGTCTCTGGACCTAAGAAACACTCATCATAATAGCTCCTGCTAAAGTGATCCCGATTATTGCTATGGTTACAGGGTGGTTACCGAGGGCCAGGTAGGAGCTGACACGTCAATTCTCCCAATGCTTACAACAGCCCCTGAATCTGTCATCAGGGCCACTTCTCAGGAGAGTAAGTGGAGGCTAAGAGGTTGAGTGACCTGCCCAGGGGCACACAACAAATTCAGGGTTGAGTTCCCAGTCTGGGGTGGCTCCCTCGGTCCCCAGCTTGTCCCTCACCTTGCCCCGAGGCTTCACCCCAGGCGCCGTGAACACTAGCAGCTTCTCAAAGCTCTCCCAGCGGGGGGATGACTTCCGCATCTGCTTTTTCTGCTGAACATTCTCTTCCTCCTCCTCCTCATTCGGGACCCTTGGAGGGGTGCCAGGTGGGGTGTCTGCCTGGGATCCTGGCGTGTGAGCCTCTTGCCAGCGCAGGGTCAGCGGGTGCAGGCCATTGACTAAATACAGTGTGTCCCCCACCTGCAGAGAGCCCTCAGACCCCTGCTTCAGCTCCTGGGTCCCGGCAGTTGAGGGGTTAATTCCCAGCTGCAGAGGGAGGGAGAGAGAGCCAGGAGCTGGCACCCGGCTCTGCCCCCAGCTGTAACCCACCTGACTTAGCTGGGGAAAGGACTTGCCTTTCTCCATCTGCCATTCAGCCTCCTCTGCCCCGCCTCTTCACTGTATCCCACCAATCAGGGCTTTGGAAGTTACAGGGGCCAGCTCTCGCCTAATTTAACCATGGATACCCCCCCCCCACGCATCTGCTTTACTAGCCACATCTGCTTCCTTCCCAGCCAGATATTCCCAGTGGGCCTGTTCCCTGCTGGGTTGAGAGTCCCCTCCCATCCCAGCTCCAGGCCTTGCTGAGAGACTGGTACCTGTTTCACAGCCACGGTGCGAGTCTCAGGGTCCGCAACCAGTTCCACTGAGGGGCGAGAGGGTGGAGTCAGGATCCGCATCCCTGTCTGATTGCTTCCCTCATTAATGGGGAGCATGGCCAACCTCAGGCCACAGGGTGGCGCTACAGCAGCCACTCAGGGGAAGAAGGCGGTTCATCTCTAAATGATATTGGCTCACTCCCTGACAACCAGTAACCAAAGAAAGGCCTTAGGGCGCTGGTACTCGCCTAAGGGCGGGGTGGGGATTTTTCAGGCTAGAACTGGCTTCTCTTTGGCGAGGAGTGCGGCTGGGCGCAGGTCTGGAGCTGGCCCACCACCACCCATCCCGGTTTCGCAACGTGTACTTTTCTCCATGAGATCGGCACTCTCTTTGACAAGAGTCGTGGCCTGACTCAAGCCTTCACGGTGGTCTGTGAGCGTCTCCAATGCCCAGTGACAACTGTCTCGGGATTGGCTCGGTCTCCTTCCCCCAGGGGTCTGCTAGTTCCAGGTAAGGCACAGCCTTTCTCTTCCTGGGCTCCCCAGAGGGCACCTGCCCACTTCAGGACTGGATGCACCACACAATATCGACTGGTGGCCAAGTATGTCTCTTACTGAACCGACGGGTCCATCTTTGCCAAAGACTGTGTTCCCACCCCGGAAGCACGCCGCACACCTGCAGCTCAGGCCCCGCCCCTGCCTACCTTGGTTTCTGGAGCACTTCCGGTCGGTAACCTGGGTCAGAGGTCCCCGGCCCAGGACCAGGGCTTGTCCATCCGAGGGCAGGAAGATGGGGGGCGGTCCCCCAGGGGTACTCTCCAGCCACAGGCGGCCCCGGGCCCCCACCTCCGCCATCCTGGGCACCGGCCTAAGGGCAAATAAGTAATGGATCTGAGTGACAGGTCGCCCTCGGATTGCTACAGGAAGTCCAGCCTCCTTTCGTCCCCTCCACCAGGAACTTCCTGCGTCCGCGAAAAGCTCGGGGAATCCCACCCACGCACCGCCCTGGGCTTGCGCCGTTTCCCAGGAGACGACGTTCCGCGCCGTCCTCTGGGAGTCGGGACCCCTCCTTCCCAGCGCAAAGGCTGAGAACGCCGCGCGCTCCCGCCCCGGCCCCGCGCTCACCTGTGCCCACCGTCCCGGCTCACTCGGCACTTCCGACCGGGGAGCTCCGGCCCCGCGGCAGCTCCGGCCCCGCGGCAGCTCCGCCGGCGGCTTTCTGGTTTTCGGCGGACGGAAATGACTTGTCCTACGCGAGGGGGCGGGGCCAACGCTCCCCCCTCCCACGGCGGAAGCCCCGCCCCTTCCAAGCCTCAGGCGCCCGTGGTCCCTCCGTAGCTCTGACCTTCATCTCTCTTGCTGCAGTGTAAGGCTCAGGCCAATAAGGGGCGAGGCCCTCCACTCCAGATTCTTTCCACTTGGAACTCTAATTTTTATTTCCTTTGCTGGAAATAGTTACGGCGGGAAGTTCTCTTTCCCATTCGAGGATCATTGTCAGTCGAAGAAACCCCCGCCCTAAAAGCACCCCTACCCTGGATGCTGCGGTTTTCTCATCGTGGGGTTACTAGGAAGATCAAAGGAATTAATACATGTAAACAATTTACAAAACTGTTTGAGTGGTAGTTTGCCCTGTTTAAGTCTTGCCTATTGTTACCATTCCTCTCATGGTTGTCTGATGAGACCGTTTACTTGACCTTGACCTAGCTCTAACTTCGGACCATGTGCCACTCATTCCCTCACCTCCAGCTGTCTTATGGCAGAAATTCGCAGCCTCAGCTTTACTGGGGACTATGGGCTCAGGTGACTGACTACTTAGAGACCATTCTGATCTCAACATTCACTCCCCCCCCGCCCCCCGCCATCACCTCCCCCATGGAAGATTGGGGGTCCATGGTCGCACAGGGCTGGAAGCCTCCCGCCCACCCCATGCCTCTTCATTTTATCTGTCAAATGGGGACAACAATCCCAACTCCCAGCTTTGCACTGAGAATCAATGAGCTGCTCATTCGGCTTCGGAAAGACTGTTGAACATCCACGACACACCTGATGCTCGTTTGACAAGAGGTAAAACCCTTTAATCTCAGAGCAGCCCTCCCAACTCGCGCTCCCCACTCCCCACTCTCTCCCCCACATCAGGGCCGGAGAGTGAGGGCCCCTGCTCCCCACCTTGGGTGGAGAAGGGCCCTTTAAGGCACCTGTGGGGGTGAGGGAAGAGGGGCAGGAGCTGGCATCGTCCTGATGCAAGGACGGGCTTTGATTGGCAGGCTGTTATGGGATGGAACCACTTGAGAGTGTGTCAGACGGAGGGACAGGATCGGGCCATCCCTGAGGAGGGGGCCAGAGGGACCAGTTGTCAGGACTTCGTAAAAACCTCAGACCCAGTAGTGTAAAGAACGTAAATTTAAGGCCGCAGGCCAATCCTGGGCCCAGGAGGAGGGCTCGGCCACGCCCCCGGGAGGTCGGAGCCAATCAGGTAGGGGAACACACTAAGGGCGGCTGGTGGCGTGGGAGATTGGCCAAGACCTTTACAGGGTTCGAGCCAAACGAAGGAGCTGCCCATTCATCAGGCTGAAGTGGAGCGCCACCACCCAATCCTGGGGCTCGACTGTGCTCCTTCAAGGATGGAGCCAATGCCGCGCGACCAAAGTTCTTGTCGCTAGGCGGAAAACGAGAGAGTCGACCCATTTAGGGCTTAGAACTAGCCAAGCCGATCCGGGAGCGAGCCGATCCCTTAACAGAAAGAACCTGTCGCTGGGCAGAAAAAGAGGCGACAGACCCTACTGGGAAACTGTATAGGTCCCGCTCCTCGGCGCAGACGGGTGTGGTGGGCTGCAAGGGCGGCGGGAATCGGCTGGGACTAGTCAGACATGGGCCCCGGGGATGTGGGAGGCCGGTCCCGGCCCTGACTCGGATTGGCGAGCCCCAGGGGCGGGGCGGGGGTGTAGTGTGGGACGGGGCGGATGCTGGGGCCTCCCTGGGCCTCAGTATTTCCGCTTCAGCTTCTGGAAGTCGCTGGTGTTGAGCCGCGGTCGCGGCAGGTCCCCGAAGACCTGAGTGTCCTCGGCCTCCCGCAGCACCAGCGCGCGCATGCTCGCCGCGATGCGGTCCAGGTCCGGTGAGGAGGGCTGCGGGGACGGCAACACGGACAGGGTCAGCACCCGCAGCCGCCACCCCACGTCCAGCGCCTGTAGCAGGCCCCCTCCTAGGACTTTCGCCCCTGGGATGACCCCGCCCAGAAGGCCCCTTACCCCCGTCTTGCTCCATATGACCCTCTTGCCCGCCTCAAACACCACCTCCTCCAAGAAGCCTTCTGCACTTCTCCCCTTCTTGGCCTAAGTCTAGGGATGAGCACAGCTGCCTATCCCACTGCGTTCCAGTTCCTTCTCACACAGCGGAAGTGCTGCCTGTCTGCTGACCATGAAGCTACGTGCACCCAGAAAGTCTCGCGTCAAAGGATTTGGGTTCGGGGTTGTCTTGGGCCAGTCAGGCCTCTGCCACCCACTAGCCGTCCACAGGGACTTCACCTCCCTGCAGAAGGCATGTCTCCCCCTCTGACGATTCGGCAATGACAGGGTCTGAGAATCAGCACACAGTGACTACTGAGGAGAGATGAGCTATCAGGTCACCAGTGCCCTACAGAAAGGATCCCTTCCCGTGCTGGCCTCCACCCGAGAAAGGTCCTGTCATTCTACCTGCTGCCCCGCACCTAGTGCCGCCTCCCCTAGACCCTGTCACCCTGAGCTGGCCCCCAGCAGAACGGGACAGGCCATCAAGCTGGACCTGAGCCCGTTTGGACCCAGCACGCGGGCCTCAAACGTTCAGTGAATGAACTGTGTTTCTAGCAGAGGTGAGTGGGGACAGTGGCCGCTGATGGGCCCTGCTGGCTTGTGAATGAGGACACTGAGGCCTGAGAGCAAGGGGGGGCCACGGGACACAAGGCGTCCTCCCGTGGAGCCCACAGCTCCTTTACGAAAGGAAGCTGGGTCCCACTGCCAGCTCTGCCCCTTCCAGACTGTGGTCTTGCGGAAGTCACGTGTACGCTCGGTGACTCAGTTTCCCCTGTGCTTCAGAGAGCGTCTGTGATGGGCGGGAAGGACCCACTCAGACCAGTCCGGGAACTGCATATGTAAAATCACGTGGGAGCAACGAGGACAAGACGGGGTGAGACGAAATCCACGAGGGGCCAGGAATATTCGGGGTGGGGGGAGAAGGGGGTCGGACCCCTCTGAGCTTCAGTTTCCCCATCTGAAGGGGACACCACAATCCTTGTGCCTTGCCAGCTACCCCTGGAAATGAAGGGAGGCGTTCTCGACAAGGCGCGAGGACACGTCACAGGGCTGCAGGAGCTAGTCCCGCATGGCTCCGGCCCAAGAAAGTGCCTGGTGAGGTGGGGGGAAGGGTTAACCCTGTGAAATGTGGCATCCATGCCTGAGGGCTTCCTGGAGGAGGTGGCTCTGAGCCCTTCCTGCCACTCCCCCCACCCTGCCATTTGCTCCTCACCGGCCCGTTCTCCTCATCCGACGACCGAGCTTCTGTCCTCTTCTCCTTGAAGGGCCAGACGGGCACGGACACAGGCAGGGACTTGGCGTACTGCTGTGTGGGCAGGGCTGAGGCCGGGGGCACTGAGTAGGCTGCGGGGCCAGCGGGGGTCTCCTCACTCAGGCTGCCATCTGAGAGTGACGGTGGACTTCAGCCTCTGTCTCTGCCTCTGTCCCAGCACCCCACCTCCCCACCCACCCGAGGCACAGGCAGAGCCTGGGACACTCACCATCTGTGCTCTCAGGGTCCGACTCGCAGAAAGGGGGCAGGTCCTGGAGCGTGGCGTCCTCATCCATCACAAAGAGCCCTGCGGATGGCATTTGAGGCCCAGGCCAGTCAGAGTCACCTCCACACTCCAGCTACTGCCGCCCTGCTCCCTGCTCTGGCCAGCCCCTTGCAAGTGGCTTCTAGAACCACGATTCCCTCTGCCTCCGGTTAAGCAGACACAAATCCACTTCTATCTGTTACACCCTCAGGTGAAAGCAACTGGCTGAACAGGAAACCTGTAAGATCTGTCTGGGATGAGCTGATTCAAAATCCAGGCTGAGAGAAAGATGAGATGATTTTGGTCTCTGATAAATGGGGACTTGGAGGCACAGAAGGGTTAAGCCACTTGCCCGAAGTCCCACAGCTAGTTAAGCGGTGTCACCTGGATCTGAACCCAGGCCAGTGGCTCCAGAGTCTGTGCCCTTGACCCTATGTGGGTTTTGTCCAGCAACAAGGAGGAAGCCAGCCCTCGGTAACGACAATAACAAATGAGTATCTGCTATTTATCGTGGCCCCCCAAACTCCTACTCACTCTTCAAAGCCCTACTGTTACAGTCCAGTCTCTGAGAAGCATGCAGCCTCCAGCTTCTCCCCCAAACTGCCAGCTGCCTCCTCCCCTGGCTTCAGCTGTCACTTGCATCCCTGACTCCCCTTAACACCCGTCTTGTTCTCATGGGCATTAGGCACCGAGATTTGAACATAATTCTTGTTCTGCTCACGTTCCAGCTCAGACGGCCCCCTCCCGACCCACAGCCTCCAACAGGCCTCATCTTGGGACTCTGGTTCGCTGGCCAGACCCGAGTCCCGCGAGAAGAGGGCCCAAGCTGGCTTTGTGTCTGTGCCCAGCACCTTCCAGCAGACGGGGCCCTAGGACATGGTGTAAGGACACAGGCCCACAGACGCTTAATGACTTGCTTAAGGTCACACAGCGAGCCACAGGCAAGCCAGCCTGGCCCCCAGGCTCTGTGAGACTCCGGCTTCCACAGAAGCTCAGGGCTCAGACGGGCAAGCCCCACCCCTTCGGGAAAACCTACGACGACAGGCGCCTTGCTGGGCCGAGAGCCACCCCAGTCCCCACCCTGTGCGTCTCTCACCTCCATTATCGCTAACACCCAGCCGCTCCCCAGAGGTCTCTGTCTCTGTCGGCTCGTCCTCGTCCTCCTCATCTTCCTCCCTGGCGAGGGTAGGCCGGGGTGGGCTCTGTGCGGGACTGGGTGGCTGCGGTGCCGGTGGGGCCACGGGGGGCCGGGCAGCGGCAGCAGCCCTGTTCGCGTCCGGGCCCGGAAGCGCTCGGCGGCCCCCACCACGGCCTCCCACAGCTCTTCAGGGCGCCCCGACGCCATCCGCGCCCTGCGGGGCAGAGCAGGACAGAGGGGGCTGGGGCTGGGCTGACTGCGCCAGCCCCATGTGTCCTGTGCCTGGATGCCATTCCCCAGAATACGTCCCCACACAGACCTCGCTCCCCAAGCCCCGTCCGGGCCCGGAAGCGCTCGGCGGCCCCCACCACGGCCTCCCACAGCTCTTCAGGGCGCCCCGACGCCATCCGCGCCCTGCGGGGCAGAGCAGGACAGAGGGGGCTGGGGCTGGGCTGACTGCGCCAGCCCCATGTGTCCTGTGCCTGGATGCCATTCCCCAGAATACGTCCCCACACAGACCTCGCTCCCCAAGCCCCGGCCGTGTCGGCACCGCCCTGGTCCCTCCTCTTGGCCCTGCCCTGTCCAACATGGGAGCCACCAGCCACAGGTGACTAAGGAGCAATTGAGATGTGGCGGGTCCAACGTGAGAGGCACGGAGTGCCTCTATGCATGTGAAATCTAACCTGGATTTCAAAGACCGAGCACAAAAAACTAAGATGTAAGTATCTCCTGAGCAATCTGATGGCGATTACATGTTGAAATGACGTCTGAGATGTATTGGCTAAATAAAATGTACAGCGAAAGTGAACGTCAATCTGTTTTCTCTTTACTTTTTTAATGTGGCCTTGGGAACACCTAAAATTGTATGCATGGCCTGTATTCTAATCTGTTGGGCTGTGCCGCCCCGACCTTCATCCCAGCCTCTTCCTGCGCCTCCAGACTCCAGTCTGGCCAGCACACAGCCCTTCAGGGGCCCTTCTACACCCAGAGCTGACCTTGCCCCTCCGCAGCATCCCCGAGACGGGTCACAGCCCCTTGGCTTGGCCCTGGAGAGCCCGCATGGTCTGGCCCTGCCCCAGGCCTCACAGCCTTCCAGACTTCCGAAGCTTGAGGCTTTCGGTCAAGGTCCTCCCGCTCCCCCGTACCTGGACCACTTACCCTCCATTTCTTTGTCACGTTTTCCCTCACCCCCTAGATCGGGTCAGTCTCCACCGTCCCCCTGAGGCTCCCCCAACATCTGAGGCACCCCCATTCTAGGACATATCTCTTTGTCCTTCCTACAAGATTGTCCTTATAGGAGCTACTCTGGAAGTCACTCCTGACCCCCTGGGATGGAGCAGGTGCCTTCCCTAGACCCACAATGCCCTGGGCTACTTCCATTAGTGCCCAGGTCACTCGAGCTTGTAACAGTCGTACCTCTGTCTGCCTCCTCTATCTAACTGTGAGCAACCCAAGGCCAGGGAACTGGACAGGTGCGCCCTAGGCAGACAATCTGCTGGACGCCTTTCCTTACAAGGTGAGAAGAGCAGAGATCACATGAGCTAGATTCCTGCCCTGTCCCAAACCTGCTTTGTGACCCTGGACCACTCGCTGGGCCTCTCTGGGCCTCACTTTCTTCCCCCTGTAAAGCAGAGAGGTTGAGCCAGGGCTGCTGGGCAGCCGAGGCGCCTCCTTGGGAAGGAAGTGGGCACCCCATCACCGGAAGGATTCAAGCTGGGCTGTGACCCAGCTCGCCAGGGTCTCAGAAATTTGATTCCAATTTGCAGGCGAAGCCGGTGTTTGCTGAGCACCTACTCAGTGCAGGGACTCGGCACCTGTCATCTCAGCTCTTATGTGACCCACAAAGGTGGGAGCTGTTACCTCACAAAGGAGGTAACTGAAGCTCACGGGGTGAAGCCCCTGCCAGAAGGCGCACGGACTAGCAGCAAGAACAGCACCTTTCTTGACAGACCCCCACAGCAAGTTGATCCCGCACTTCCCGAGAGCCAGGGAGGGACCTGAGTGTGTCACCGACATTCTCGTCCCACTCTCTGCAGCCCTATGAGGGAGGAGCCGTTACCACCCCACGTCATAGTTGCAACCGAGACCCAGGGAGGGTCAGTATCTTGACCAGGGTCAGACGGCTGGAGAGGAGAGGGACCTGGACCTGGAAGTCTGGGGCCAGAGCCTGTTCTGAATCCCAAATGCCTTCCTGCCCACCTTGTGAGGAAAGATTGATGACTTCCTAGTCCAGAAGGGGAAAGTGAGGCTCAGAGAGCTTAAGGCACTGGCCCAAAGGCACACAGCAAAAGGGGCAGAAGTGGGGCTGCAACCGCCGTCTGCCAGACTTCGAAACCTAACAGAACTGGGAGGCGCTCAGGGTCTCACGGCCACTCCTTGGCTCATCTCCCTATAATGACAGGTTTAGGGAAATGACTGGTCCAAGGTCACACAGCCTGGCAGTGCTAGGCCTGAGGCTCTTACTTCCTTAGGACACCAGGATTAAACTCTTCTCTGTCCTAGATCTTAGCGTAGCCATAGGGATGCAAAGAGTGAAATGGGGGTGAGGGTCTCCCCATCCCCAAGAGCATGAGGAAAAAGAAGAGGACGACTCACACAGACCTCGCCGCCAAAGCCTGGGAGCCCTCATGAGTCTGCTGCCCAAGAGGAGAATAACCGGGCCCTGGCGAGTCTCCCGCCCCTTCGGTTTCTGGGGAAAGTCCTGCATCCTCCAAAGAGCTAAGAAATGGAAGGCCCCCTCCTCTCGGATGGAGGAGTTTTAAGATTAGGAGAGAGGAAAAGGAGGTGAGACCTGTCTCCCACAGGACAGGGAGGGAGAGGTAAAGTGACTGGCCTCTTGGGAGATGGGGAAAGAGGAAAAATCCCCCAGGGAATGAGGGAAGCTAGTGGAGACCCTCCTCCGACTACCTGTCAAACTGGAAGTGCCCCCGCCCCCAGCCCATCTCCAAGGTAGGAAGAAGTCGAGGATGCACTCTGTAGCCGGGGGCGGGGTGAATGTCTGGGGTCTCCCTCCACCGCTCAGAGACCTCCCCACCTCTGCCGGGGGCCAGTGAAGACCCACTTCTCTAGGAAAAAAAAAACAAAACAGGAAATCCCGCCCAGATGGGAGCAGGACCGGAAGTCCCGCCTCTGGACGGGTGAGGGGCGCCCCGAGACCCCCCAAGCAGCCCCTCGACCCTACTGACATGGTCCACGGTCAAGGTAAAGATCCTGGGGGGCCTGGAGACCGGAAAGTAAGGCTGTCTAGGGTTTGCCTCGGGTGAGAAACGACGGTTCCCGCCAGCGACCCCTTTCCAGCGCTCAGCGTGAGGTCGCTGGGCAATCTCTTCCCTTTGATCTACGCAGGCCATACCCCTCCCGCGAGCAGCTCGCCCTCCCAGCGCCCCTCTCCTCCGGACAGCGAGATCCTCCCCACACCGCGGTTCACAACGCCGCCTCCACTCACGTGCCCGTAGCCAGCATGGCCGACCCGGCGCCGTCGCCGCCCTCAAAAGACATGGCGGCGACTTGCGTCACTTCCGCGTAGTCGACCCGCCTCCAAGCTGCAAACTCCCCCCGTATTGGGACCGCCCGAAACAAAGATGGCGCCCACGGGGGTTTTTACCAGATCACAGTGGGGCAATGGCGACAGGCAGGGTGCCCATAAGAAAGATGAGGGAAGGCTTCGGTTTGCTCGGAAACAAGCCTAGACCATTTCTATTTGACCCCAAGAAATATGGCCGCTGTACATACACATTCGAGACCACGGTAATCTAAGATAAGCGACCTGACATCCCTCATTTATAATCCACCTCTTCCACAGTGCCCGTTAATGACATGGCAGCCAGCCTGACATCACTTGCCCATAATGTATATGAATCCTCCAGCCTATCCCACTTAAGCACCAAGACTGGCAAAGATCCAACATGGCAGCCTTTCTTGCTTCGGTTTGCCCAACTTCAGTATGGCGCCTCAGAGCGCTTTCTTTCGGCCGGGACTCGTGAATTCGTCTGGAACCGCTTTGTTTCCGGGGAGACTGACGGCCTCATCCCGTTAACCTAAGTCCCTCAGGGCCTCTTGTGATGTACAGCTCGTCTCACCTTCTTTTCCTTTCTCCTTTTCTTTCCCAGAACCTCGCTATCGTGCCCCGCAGAGCGATGGGACTGCCCCAAGTTAACATGGCCGCTGCTGACCGGCTTTAGTCGTGCCCTCAAGCAAGATGGCTCCTCTTTGGCTTCGATGCCAGTATACCATGTGGAAAAAGGAGGCGTTTCGGAGAATTTGAGCGAGAGGGTGGGAGCTCTTGGGCCCTCCCCCTTGTTTACTTCGTGGACAGGACCGGAGTATTGCGCTTGCGCACCCTCCCAGGCCCGCTCCACCCTCAGGGTCTGCGCCATGTGATATGTCTCGTGGTTCGACTTCAACCACCCCGTTCTGAAAGATGGTTACACCCACTCCTGTTGTAGAATAGACAAGGGCGCTACCACTGTCCGGGCTTGAGGGGAGTCTCCTATCCGGACGTGACGGCACGTTGACCCGGAAAGGGAGGGAGCCGGGGCAGTGGGGCCTCGGCCGCGGCTATGGAGGCAGCCGGTTACAGGGTAAGCAGCGAGGACGCATTCTTTCGCTCCTGTCTGTATGCGACGCCCCGCTCCGGTGGCCTGCTTTTCCCTCAGGCCGTGCCGCGGCTCTGAGAGCCGGGCCGATCCTTAGCAAACACACTATGTCCCTGATGAACGCGCTGTCACCCTTCCCTGCACTGCCCTAGGGAAGACCCGTGTCTTTTGGCTCGCCCCTGGGCTGCGGAGATACGCCTCTGGGCCCCGCCCCTTTGGGAATGCACCCCCCACTTCTCCCCTCCCTCCGTCCGCCCCCCAGCACCCGAACGCCTGGCCGGCGTTCAGGGTTCACCTCTCCGGGTGTACTGCCCGAGGTGAGGGTTCTCCAGGCCCCGCCCCCCGAGTCCGCTCCCATTGGCTCCCCCCAGGGCCCCGCCCCTCGGGTGTCTTTCTGCTCTTGGGCCCCGCCCCTCACTGGTTCCGGTCCCCAGGTGGTGTTTGAGAAGAAAGGCGTGTACCTGCACACCAGTGCCAAGAAGCACCAAGACCCGGACTCCCTCATCTCCGGAGTCATCCGTGTTGTGGAGAAGGTGCGCCGGGAGGGAACGAGGGCTTGGGCGGGCCCAGAGCGGGATGGTGGCGGCATCTGTGGCAGTTTGGTCTGGTTGTCAGTGATGGGACCTTAAGAAGACTGGGGGTCGGGGCTGGAAAGAGATGAGGCTCTCTCAGGCTGAGGGTCCAAAACGGAGAAGAAGTTTGGCGATACGGTTTGGAGAGTTAAGAGGGGACCCCCTCTAAGCCCTCCCTCCTTCCCCAGGACAATGATGTCCTCCTGCACTGGGCTCCCATAGAGGAAGCTGGAGATTCTACCCAAATCCTCTTCTCCAAGAAGGTAGGCTTCCCTTGCTCTTCCCTTCTCCACTTGCTGTTTCTCTAGCTTGGGCACTGGAAGGCGTTTTAAAGAGCTGGGTACAATCCCAGAACTATTCTTGGGGCAGGCGTGACCCCGGTTGGTTTCCTCCTCTCTGTGAAATGGGGCTGAAGATGCCCGTTCACGGAAAGGAAGCCGACACCATGAAGTTCTTGGCCATGGAGATAGCTGCCCCCTCACTCCCTCCGCCTTCTGGCAGAGCCCCGCCAGGATACGAAAGGACAGCTCAGAAAGGACAGCTCAGCCCGTGGATTTGGGTTCCATGGGCTGTTAACCCATAAGAACGTAAAGAGGTGTGGCATTTTCCCTGGGGCCGTCTTGCCATCATGTCGAGAGAGGAAACAGGACCTGGCGGGGGTGACTCGCTGGTACACCTTTCTCCCCGGTACAGGACCTCGTCCTTCTCAGTGCCAGTGGGTTCCTGAGGATATTTGTTCCCAGGCCCTGTGCTGGACAGTGCTGGCGCCCAGCAGTGACTCCAGCCCAGGCCCTGCCTAAGCCCTGCCCCCCATTCCGTTTTTGAGAAATTGAAGCACAATGATAGGAAGCCCCTTTTCTGAGGCCATATAAAGGTAGGAGGTGTTGGAACTCGGGTTTCAACCCAGACACTGATTCTGGAGCCTCACCTCTTCCTGGGGGGGCGTTTGGGCTGGGACTCTGAAGGTGGGGGGCGGGTAATTCGAGAGGAAGTGTGTTTTAGGGGAAGTGGGACCTCTCTGTAGAGGAGTTTGCTAGAAAGGTGATTGGGCCTGAAACGCTAGGCTCAGAACTTGGACTTTGTCTTGGGGGCCCTGGGCAGCCATGGGAGGAGCAAGGTGTGGGTGTGGAAGGCATGTGGTCAATGGCCCAAGGGCCACAGGGAGGGAGAAGGGCGGGGAGGAGGCAGGTGTGATGGGCCAGGCAGATAGGCCGAAGCTTCAGCTGGGGTCGTGGGCTTTCAGATGACCCAGTGGGGTACAAACGGGGATTCTAGAGTGTACCCCTCCAGGAGTTGGGACAGGAGCAACCAGGGTTTTGCATTTTCCACCAACCTGGAAGGCAGTCTGAGGACGTTTCTTGAGAATATCGCTGTCCTCCTCAGTCCTCTTATTTTTGAGTATCAGGAATCCACTGAGATGGGCTTCGAGAAAAAGGGCACGTACGCCTCCACGGTACATTTAGCGCCAAAGCGCACAAAACCAGACCGATGACAGGTGAAGCAAACGAATTTGCTTCTCTGATCTCAGGAGACCTCACAAGCCCTGGGGCTGCTGGCCTCAATGAGTGCTGCCAGGGCCTGAGTCACTGAGATCCTACTGGCCTTGAAATGACTGCTTCAGCTCCAGCCATCGCATCTGCCTTATTTAAGGCAGGAAGAAGGAGGCAGGCAGGGTGCCAGTCACATCTGTCCTCATCAGAAAAATACGAGAGATTTTCCGCATGCCCTCTGCCTCGGTTAGGAGTTGCATTTGGCCGCGCGTGATAGAAATAGGAATGACGGTGGCCTGCGCAAGATGAAAGCTCATTTCTCTCCTCCTGAAAAGCCCAGGAGTCAGCAGTACAGGTTCACGTGTCATCAGTGACCCCGCTTCCTTCCACGTTTGCTGTGCCGTCCACATGTCGCATCCTCCCGCAGCACGTGTTGATGCTCGGGGCTGTCTGGAACTCCGGCCTTTTTGACCGTTGTTGTTCACTCGGCACGTGTGTCGCACATTGGCCAGCGAGCTCTGTTCGACACGATTACTCGAGGGCGCGTGCTGCCAGAGCGGTCACCATCTGAAAGGTCGCCGTGCCTTGTGGTTGTAGGGGTCTCATCCGGCGATGAAACAGGTCGTGCTGGCGGTGACGCAGCCCAGCCCCTCGGCCAGAGCCGGCTGCACGGCTCTACCAGCCAGTGGGGTTCCGTGGCCGTGACCCCGCCACGTGCCGAAAAGGCGGAGAGCTGCAGATACTTGGCCAGTCGTGCTAATGTTAACAAGGCGAAATCATCGAGTTCTTCACGTCACGGAACACGGTGGGCGGAAACGGCTTTGCCAGCGCTGAGTCGGCAGCCTCGCGGACAAGTGTCCCTGCCCGTCCTTGGCCCTCCCCTCGTGGCCCTAGTTTACTGCCACAGCTCTAAACACCGTGTCCTTCCCTGACAGCACCCAAACGCTCGCCTGGATAGGGTGTTCACTCCTGTAGGTGCCTTTTTATCGGAGATTTCTCTTCCTCAAACTCCCCACCGAGGTCCTCTCAGCTCCCGCCGGCCAGAGTTGGTCTGTGGGCCACTCAGAACTGCAGGGACGGCTGGGCAAGTGCAATGTGGCAGGGAGAGTCCGGTGTCTGCGGTGGGGGCCCTGGGAGCAGCAGCAGAGCTGGCTGTTGGGTAGACCCACAGCCGGGGTCTTCCCGGCTTCGTGGCTCTAATCACACAGGGTCCGCTGCGGGAGTCACACACGCTCCAGCAAGTTTAAGCAGCAGGGGGTTAAAATGCAGAGAAGTGGAGGCTTACAGAGCTTGTACCGGGGCTGGAGGAACTGGACCTGCCCGGGGAGCCGCCGCCACTGCCAGAATGACGGCTGTGGCGAATGGGACTGTCACGGGAGCTGTCGGGTTCAAGAACACTTCCCTCAAGCGCTGCTTCTCAGCCCCCACTGAGCTAGTGACTGGGCCCTGGAAGACTGAGCCGTCCCCACGGCTGCCCAGGTTGTCCCTCCATGCTTGGGAGGATGAAGACCGAGATGTTGCGTCTCCTCGCTCGCCAGCCACACACCGCCCAAGTGGCAGGAAGTTGCCCTCCCCTGATTTCTGCTTCCCAGATTGCGTGTGTCTGTTTGGTAGACTGTCCTGCACCCAGCGGGTCCTCCGGCTGCACGGGAGCCGGGGACGTGTAGTTTTTAGCTTGCCGGACTTTGCCACGCAAGAAGGCACACTGGTTGTGAATGGACTGGGGCGCCGCAGTCCTCACCAGCTTTGTCCCTTCCCTGTCCTGCCACCCTGGGCTTCTGCGGCTCTCTCACCTCAGCACGGCTTCCCCTGCCCGGTTTCCTGAGCTTGAAGCAGTAGGAGCAGCCGCCGCCGCCGCCATGCTGCGTACTCCACGTTGTCATAGCAACCTGTGAGCCAGATGCTTTTTCTCTCCGTGGGATAGAATTCGTTTACCATAAGACTCAATTTTATGGTGAAATTTAAGACTCTTAAAGTGCATAGTCCAGCAGTTTTCGGTATTTACAGGACTGCAGCCATTACCAGCGTCCAAGTGCAGAATGCTTCGTCCGCCCGTAAGAGAGCCCGGACCTGTTCGCAGGCGCCCCGGTCCCCCTCCCCGGCTCCGGGCCACCGCTCACCTCCTTTCTGCCCGCTTAGAGTCGCCTAGTCTGACATTTCACACGGGCGGAATCACCCGGGGTCCTCTGTGACCAGCTTCTCGTACTGAGGAGGCTTTCGCGGCTCATCATGTCGCGTGGTCAGAAGTCCATTCTCGTTCTGTCGCTAACCGGTGCTCCGCCGTGCGCCTCCAGCGCGTTGTTTATTCATTCGTCGGTTTAACAGACGGCGGGGCGGTTCTGCCTCTCGGCTGTCGTGACCGATGCTGCCGTGAACATTCTCACGCGCGGTTTCCTGTGGACGTTTCTATTCATTTCTCCGGGGGACACGCCTAGCAGCAGAGTTGCCGGTCCCGAGGAATCCCATGGTTCTCCTTTCAGGGACCTGCCAGCCTTTCCCACAGCAGCCGCGCCGTTGTGGTTCCCGCCGGTGGCGTGACAGGGTCATTTCTCCACGTCCTCACCCACGCTCACCATCCCCGTCATCTTTGTCCTAGCTGTCCTGTGGGGTACGCGGGGGATCCGATCGCAGTCCGGGTTCGAGTTGCCCCTGCGAATACTAACTGCTTACTCAGAGCCCTGAGACCCTGCCCCCGCCAGATGCCTGCTCCCCAGGCGGCGGCCCTCGGCTGTGCCGGGTGACCCCAAGCAAGTGCCGTGCCCTCTGCACCTCAGTTTCCCTCTTTGTTCCTGGGGGCTACACCTTCCAGGGTGGCCTCGTGGCTTTGATCTAGGCATTCTGACTCCATAGCCCCTCACTCTATTCTTTCCCCAAGGACACCAGTGGGGGTGATCCCTGCACCTCTGAGGAAGAACCGACCTTTGACCCCGGCTATGAACCCGACTGGGCTGTCATCAGCACCGTGCGGCCGCGGCCCCAGAACTCAGAGCCCCCCAGAGGTAGGCCAAGCTGTTGCCCATAGTCAGGGTGGCCACCCGGCACTGGCCTTCCAGTCCCAGGAGAGCGGATGGGGGTGCGGTCTGTCCCCACGCCAGGTCCAGCATGGCCGGCGTCTCTGGGGTTTTGCAGCCTTGGTCACCCTGCTGGGCTCCCTGATTGGTTTGGGCACCTCTGCATGAGTCCAGCCCATGGGCGACAGGTACAGGGTGACAGGGTGATTCAGGCCATCCTGGACTCACACAGTGCTGAGCACCAGAGGAGGCATCTGACCCCTCTGGGGGGTCGGGGAGCCTTCCACAGAGAGGCGAGGCCAGAGCCTGGCTCTAAGGGACACTTGGGAGTGTCCCCTGGCAGTGAGGACGGCCAGCGCAAGGCCCCTGGTGTGGGGCTCTGGGCATGTCTAGGAAACCACAGCCTTTTGTCGTGGCTCCAGTGTGGGCTGTGAGTGAAGAGAGGGTTGGAGGTGGGATGGGCAGGGGACAGGGGACAGACCGGAGGACTCTGGTCCTTCACCCTGAGGGCCCCAGGGAGCCAATTTTGGAATAGGCACGTGTCCACTGGGCTCCCCTCCCATTCCATTCAGTTGTGTTTCTAAGGGAATGTGAGGTGATCCAGGGCTCCTGGTGCCTGTTATTATTGGGGGCCCTTCCTGACTTGGTGACTTCAGGTGCCTGTTATTATTGGGGGCCCTTCCTGACTTGGGGGTGACTTTGTCGCTGACCCAAGGACAGAGATGCTTCCCACCCTGAACGTTAACTGCCCATCCAGTGAGCTAAGAAGGGCTCTGCACGGCCTGGGGCTGGCTCGCGGTGGCCTCTCGGGAGCTGGCCCTGCCTCCGGCTCTGCAGGCCTCTCTGACGCTGCCCCGTCCCCTCCCCTAGGGGCAGAGCCCAGCTCCCCCCGGGGCTCCTGGGCCTTCTCGGTGAGTCTGGGGGAGCTCAAGTCCATCCGCCGGTCCAAGCCGGGCCTCAGCTGGGCCTATCTGGTCCTGGTGACCCAGGCCGGCGGCTCCCTACCCGCCCTGCACTTCCACCGAGGGGGCACCCGCGCCCTGCTTCGCGTCCTCAGCCGCTACCTGCTGTTGGCCAGGTAAGGTTCCTCCACGGCTGCGAAAAAACGCAACTCGGACCAATTTCAAGGCAGTAAAGGGGAATTAACTGGCACACGAAGCGCCAAGTCTAAGGTAGTTTGGTCTCAGGTGGGCCCGGGGCCCCGAGTGTTAGAGAGCCACTGTGTCCCTCCGAGCTGGGTCCCATCTATGGGGGGAGCTGGGGGGTGGCGTGGAGAGAGCAGCTCTACCCATCCCAGCAACCTCCCTGGGCTGCTGCCTGTCGTTGGCCGGCTCCTGAATCAGTCGCCTGGCTCAGTCACCTGGCTGGGAGGTGCAAGGCCCTCGTTGGCCAGCCCCAGGGTCCAGCTGTGGTGTCAGGCCCGATGAGGGCTTCCCTGAGGGCACTCGGGGGCCACAACTGGAGGGGGAGGGAACGGCGAGGGCCCCCAGCCGGACCTGCGCGTCACCGTCACCAAACGCCTCCCGCAGCTCCCCGCAGGACTCCCGCCTCTACCTCGTCTTCCCCCACGACTCCTCGGCCCTCTGCAGCTCCTTCCACCACCTGCAGCTCTTCGACCAGGATAGCTCCAACGTGGTGTCTGTGAGTCCCTGCGCCAGGCCTGGGGGCCGTGGGCAGGCGGCGGACGCCCTGGTGGGCGAGGCGGGAAGGCACAGAGCTGTGACCCACCCTCGCCCTTGTCCCCAGCGCTTCCTCCAGGATCCCTACTCCACCACCTTCAGCAGCTTCTCCCGCGTGACCAACTTCTTCCGGGGCGCCCTGCAGCCACACCCAGAGGGGGCCGCCTCCGACCTTCCTCCGGGCCCCGATGATGAGCCCGAGCCTGGCTTCGAGGTCATTTCCTGTGTGAGTATCGGGGCGGACCCCACTACTCTCTGGCTGTCACCTGGGGCACATGACTACCTTTCCCTGGGCCTCAGTTTCCTTTTCGGGAAAGGGGGGATAGTAATGGTACCACCTCACTGGGTTGCTTAGGTGACTGTAGAAAGTGCTTACAGCTGTGCTTCTGGGGCCTGTTGTTACTGGGGGGCCCCTTCCTGACTTGGGGTGATTTTTGTCACTGACCCAAGGACGGAGATGCTTGCCACCCTGAACATGAACTGTCTGTCGAGCTATGGAGGGCTCTGAGGTGGTCTGCGATGGGGTTGGGGAGCGCTGCGGGGTCCCCCACAGACAGGACCCCGGCAGGCCGTCCAGCCCCTGGGCTCACTTGCCTTGTGTCCCGCAGGTGGAGCTGGGCCCTCGGCCGGCGGTGGAGCGGGCATCCCCGGTCACGGAGGAGGAGTGGGCCGGCCACGTGGGCCCCGAGGGCCGTCTGCAGCGGGTCCCTGAGCTGAGAGCCCGGATATTCTCGGGGGTGAGGCGCCGGTGTGGGGAGGGCTGGGCAGGGCCGGCGGGCCGCCAGGGGTCGCCTCTGAGCTGCCTGCCTGCTCCGCCCCCCAGGGTCTGAGCCCCTGCCTGAGGCGGGAGGCCTGGAAGTTCCTCCTGGGGTACCTCAGCTGGGAGGGCTCAGCCGAGGAGCACAAGGCCCACGTGCGAAAGAAAACGTGAGTGAGAAGCTGCGGCCCCCTCCCAGCCAGGCCCCGACCTCTGGCCTCCTGGCTTCCCAAGTCGGTGGGAGGTTTCTGATCAACCTGTCCCGGTGGCCAGCAGGGCACCTGGCGCAGCACAGGTGTGCACCCGGGTTTGCTCCTGGCTGGTTGTGGGCCTGCCACGTGCTGGCACCGACCTGTGCAGGAGGGAGACCGAGGCAAAAGCCAGGCCTGCGCCCCGGCTTGTCCCCTGTGACCTGTCCCTCCTGGCGCCATACTGTGTCAGTGTTCACTGCTTCGCCTCCTAAACCCTGGGGCCCAGCTCTCCTCATTCCTCCTACGTACTGTGCCCCTGCTCTGCATCCTCGTCCCCACCCCTGGTGCTCTCTGTCCAGTGTTGGTGACACTTTCAAACATAAGCCCACAGGATGTCCTGTGAGGTGTCAGTACAGGGAAGCATGGGGCCCCCGGCAGGACAACCGGTGGCCCGCTTGGGTGTGCGTGATTGGGCAGGGGCTCTGAGGCCCTGGCAGGCGTGAGTCCCGAGGCTGAGGGTGGGGTGGGGGCGTCCTCACGCCTGGCCTCTGTCGCCCGCAGGGACGAGTATTTCCGCATGAAGCTGCAGTGGAAATCCGTGAGCCCGGAGCAGGAGCGCAGGAACTCACTGCTGCACGGCTACCGCAGCCTCATCGGTGGGTGGGGCCAAGCGGAGCCCCGCCTCCAAGCAGGGATGCGGTCGCTTAGGGCAGGCGGGGCGAGGCCGGGGCAGGGGGAGAGGGTGGAGAGCCAGGCTCGCGATCAAACCCCAGCTCTGCCACCTACTCACGGTGGGATCTCGGCAAGTGGTTTTACCCCGGGCCTCAGTTTCCCCATCTGCGGGCGGTTCGTGACCGTCGGTTGCAGGGAGCACAGCGCCTCAGTCCTGTGTTCGGATGGTTCCGGGACTGGCCCTCGCTGGACGTTTCTCACCTTGCACCCCGCACCCCTTCCCCGCAGAGAGAGACGTGAGCCGCACCGACAGGAGCAACAAGTTCTACGAAGGCCCCGAGAACCCGGGGCTGACCCTGCTGAATGACATCCTCCTCACCTACTGCATGTACCACTTCGACCTCGGTGCGCTGGGCGCCGGGGGCGGGGCCTGCCCTGGCAGCCAAGGGCCCGGGCTGCACCCTGACCTCGTGTCTTCTAGGCTACGTCCAGGGCATGAGTGACCTCCTCTCCCCGATCCTCTACGTCATTCAGAACGAGGTGGATGCCTTCTGGTGTTTCTGTGGCTTCATGGAGCTCGTGGTGAGGCTCAGGACGGGTGGGAGACGGGCCCCCTTCCAGGGGTCGGAGCCCAGCGCTTCACGTGGCCCTCCCCCCACAGCACGGGAACTTTGAGGAGAGTCAGGAGACCATGAAGCGACAACTCGGGCAGCTCCTGCTGCTCCTCCGGGTGCTGGACCCACCGCTCTGTGACTTCCTGGGTACGTGTCTTGGTGGGTGGGAAGGGGACATTGGGGCCACAGACCTTGCCAAAGAGTCTCAGGGAGTGAGTAGCCACAGGGGACACTTGGTCCTGATCCAAACCAGAGAAACATCTCGCAGAAGCCAAAACCCAGAACTTACTTACCTGTAAGAGCAGGACCGCAGTAGAGCTAACCCTGAGCAGATGCAGGTGCGTGCACCCTGCCATCAGCCCCGCACTTCGCACGCACATCTGGTGTACCTCTCAGCACTTTATTCCCCGCTGCCTGGAGCCAGGGGTTGGACGCTGGTTCCCTGAGCTCCTTCCTTCCTTCCTTGTTCGATGTAACAAAGTCAGGAGATTAAGAAAGTAAAAGTTATTGTCAATAGTAGCATTCTGTGGGCTGCAGAGGATGGTAAGCTAACTTACTTATGGGCATCGCTACATTGAAATTTTGACTTTAGTTGCTTCTATGTCATTGAAAGTTCCCTAAACCGTCCCTTGTATCAACCACACAGCATTCTGTCCATCTTAAGGAACAAGAATAGACTTGAGCTGACCTGCTGGACGTTTAGTTTACTTGTCCTTTTCCGTCATGATGAATGTAGGCTGGATGATTTCTTTAGATTACGTTCCAAGCGAAACCATCCAGGGCAGTTCGTGCTTTGACAGTTTTGGAAATGTCTGTCCCCATACCTCCTTCCCTGGAGAGCTGGGCCAGCTTCCGGTGTTGCTGGCAGGGTACACGAGTGCCAGTTCCCTGGGGCCACCACCAGTGGTGGACGCTGAATGGTTTTTACCTTTTCCTTGAGCGTACTGGCCTGACCGTGTCCTGCACGTGGCACAGCTCGCCTTGTCTGGGCTGGGGAGCAGGATGGGAAGGGTTCCCGTTGGCACAGCGTTCCCGTCTCAGCTCCGAGGCCGTCCCGCGCCGGGCGTAAGTTGCTCGCCTCGGCTGGTGGAGGGTCTCACGGCCGGGGCGACTTCTCGCGGGGCCTCCGTCCGGCCCCGGCACACTGTGAATTAGAATGGCATTGGCACCGGTTCCGGGCTGGCCCTTTGCTGCCACCGCTGTCCTCCCACAGACTCTCAGGACTCTGGCTCACTCTGCTTCTGCTTCCGGTGGCTGCTCATTTGGTTCAAGAGGGAGTTTCCCTTCCCGGATGTCCTTCGGCTATGGGAGGTAGGCAGCCAGCCTGGGTGGGAGGGCTGTGGGAGGTGGGCAGGGGCCGGGGCAGACCTGGGGGTGACCTCAAGCAGAGGCCGGGCCGTGACCCCTCCTTCCGGCACCCCCAGGTGCTGTGGACAGGTCTCCCTGGCCCCAACCTGCACCTGCTGGTGGCCTGTGCCATCCTGGACATGGAGCGGGACACCCTCATGCTCTCAGGCTTCGGCTCCAATGAGATCCTCAAGGTCAGGTGCTGGCCCCTCCCACCTTTTTCCTGCCCATCCTGACCTGTGCAGACGGGACACAGCAGCTGGGTGTGGCCTCCATGGAGGCTGGCACTGCCTGTGCCACCGTACCTTGCAGCAGTCGGTACTCAAAATAGGATTCTCAAAAGTATGGTTAACTGAGCTCTGAGCATGGCAGCCACGAGGCTGGCTGCATTTGTCCCTTACTCCATCCTGACCCTGCCTCCCAGCACTGCCCTCACGGAGCATGTGGCCCTTGCATGAGGGGTGGTCCTGGTACTCTCCCGGGACCTTAATGCGGGGCGGGGCCGGACCACGGGGTGGAGCTCGGTATCCTGCATCTGGCAGCAGCTTGGGAGAGTGTGGCCGGCCAATCCTCTCGCTCCCCTAGGATCCCCAAGAGGGCCGGCCCCATCTGTCTTCCTTCCATGTGTCCCCAGCACGGGGCACAGAGCTGGGTGCGGGGGAGGGGGCAGTTGAGTGCAGGCGGGCCTGACCCACCCCTCCCACAGCACATCAACGAGCTGACCATGAAGCTGAGTGTGGAGGACGTACTGACCCGGGCCGAGGCCCTCTATCTGCAGTTGATGGCCTGTGTGGTGAGTCCCCGGCACCCCCCGACGGCCCCCCTTCCCCTGCCCTGTCAAACTGCTGACTTTTTGCTCCCCACCCCCTGACCTTCCAGGAGCTGCCCCACAACGTGCAGGAGGTCCTGGGGCTCGTACCCCCCGCAGAGCCCCACAGCCCATCGCCCCCTGTCTCCCCACTGCCGCTGTCGCCCACCCGGGCCCCACCGGCCCCGCCACTCCCCTCGGACGCTGCCCCGCAGCCGGACAGCAGCTTGGAGATCCTGCCTGAGGAGGAGGAGGAGGAGAGCAGGGACTCCTAAGTCACTGGGCCTATGGCAGCCTGCCCCAAACAGCACTTTATCCAGCTCTCAGCCCATGATCCTGCCCCTCCCAGAGGCTGGGGGTGGAGTGAGCAAAAAGGGGCGGGGCTCCTGCCGGGCCCGGCCCGCCCGATTAGCTGGTTTTATTAACTGACACTCCTAATTAGCTGGTTTTATTAACTGACACTT